TATCTGAATAGTTTCATCTAAAATTTCTCTCTAAAAAGTTGTACTAAAATTGACAGTGAGAATCAAAAAGTGGATAAAACAAATTTACCTCAGAAAAACTTTAGAGTACATCAAGAAACATACACCTTAATCAGCCAAAAAAATCCACTTTTACTAATTATCAAAAATTGATTTAAATTTAATTATTTTAAAGAAAAGATTTAAATACAATAAATGAGAAAACAACAATTTTATTAACAAATGATGTAATAAATTGATTTGCAAAATGACTATTCTCATAGTAGCTGGAGCGAGAGAAACTAATTCACTACCAACAGTTGACTAAACTCAAGTATATTGTAGAAATTTTAAAATATGAATTTTAGAAAAAATATACGTCATCTTGAACTGATGGATACATTCCTGTGATTGTTTCAGCTTATTATTCAATGGTTTAATTTCTTGTTACCAAGAAATTAAACCATTGAATAATAAGCTGAAACAATCATATTAATTACATATTACATTTTTAGCTACCTCCTCTAGTTTGTTGCAGTTAAATTCTGATCTCGGTTTTATTTTTTCATTGCGTTTCTATTGACTAAGACCAAATTATGTTGTAAAAGCAACAATATATAGTTATAATAGAAAGACAGTGAAAAACAATTGATATCTAAAGAAAAACATCAGGGAGAAAAAATACTGCACTGAAAAAATTTCAATAGGTGTAATAAGTCTGAGGACTTATCACACCTTTTGAAAATTATGGCACCTGAAATGAAAGTCAAATTTTTTCTTGGGAGTCTCTTTGGTAAAGTTAAGCTTGGCAATTCTAAAGCCATACCATAAACTTATTATATTGTCTATGCACTTCACATTCTTGCTTAAACATCATAGTGACATGGTGGAGCTTTCAAGAGAAATTTCAAAGATATTCTTTGTTTTAAAATTTAATGGTGATTAAGCTTTTATATCAGATTCTAGTCTGAGGACTTATCACACCTTTTGAAATATTTTCACTTGGACACCAAGAGACCTTTTTTTGGCTTTCCTATTTTATTAAAGTTGCATTTTGGTCACTTATGTTCTTCTTCAGTTTAAAGCAGATGCTTTTTGGGTTAAAGGTTCTTTTACAAATTCACTGAAGACTATAATAATTTTTTTTTCATTACATTCTCTTTTATTGGTTTTATCTGAAACAATTTTTTAAAATATATTAGATCTATGGCTGTTTTAATTTTCTATTTGCTTTCTTCCTGTAAATAATGCCTGAATAAGGGGTCACTTTCCCTTAAAGGTCCATAGCTATCTTACAAATTGTTTCTGCTGATTATGTGCTCTTTCATGATGCTCCTAATATGCAGTTGGGTTATAGCCACTCATACCCCATGTATAATGTTGACACTAGGATTTCTCATTTCCCAGGCTTTTGCTGTATATAATTCTATCCTGAGAAAGTGAACTGTTTCCTGGGATAAAATTATTTATTTTTAAGATATATAAATTTCTTGAAATCAAATGATATAATTATTTTTTGTTTTTTTAAAGTAATTTAATATGTTCTGTAACCTCCAAAATCATATTAATAATGCTATGTAAGATATATATAAAAAAATTATCTTTGAATTATGTAGAAATTTTCACAAATAGAAAAAAATTCTCCGATCACTCAATCTGATTCTTATTTTAGTAATGAAAAGTCTCACTACCAAGAATGCCTTTTCCAATTCAACTGATGTGAGTGGAATTGAATTTAATGCATTATATTAAGAGAAGACAGATATGTGTTTTTTCACCTGTAGCCTGGAAGATTTCTAGTTTGTTTTTGAGATTGTAGTAGTACTTTTGTTCTCNTACTATTATTTATAATTTTTCTAACATTTATCAAGAATCTTAAAAGTTTACTGCTCTTATTGAATGTACAAAGTCGAAGTCGGCTTAGAGCAGATAATACAGTAAATATCATAGTTCTTTCCACAGGAAACAGCGGAACCGTTTGAAGACAAGCTGATATCTGTAGAAAAACAAACATTTACCTTTAATCTGTCTAAATAAATACAGATTTTTGGACATTTCCTTGATATTTTTCGTTTCCTAAGAAAAACTAGTAAGATACGCTAGCCTTTAATCCGCATGAACAGATTTGCACTTTCATAGTACGAAATTTTTTTCTTATATTTGGAGTAGATACACAGAAGTTTCTACGTTACTATCACACAAAATACACAAGAGTGGAAATAAAGATAGCAGATACTTTCTATGAGATAACTTAGTATTTTCGGTTTCTTTACAACCGTATTGTTGATGGAATTCGAAACCATCAAGACTTGAAGATATGCAATAGTGGATGTAATTTTTAACAAGAGAAAAATGACAGACTCTATCTGCAAACTTCACTTTAAATATATATTCAAAAGTATGCGTATTATTATATAGATTTGATATCAGTTTAGTTTTATAGTTTATGACAATTTTATATAAATAATAAATTGTCAGGAACAACTTGAAGAATACTATGTAATGATTATATGATTATTTGTTACTAATGTAAAAAAATATCATTGTAAAAAGTAACATCATAAAGAAATGTTGGGTTATTTTGGTGATAACATTAACTTTGCTATTTGTAAAGGAACAATGAAAATTATTGGTTTACACATAAATAAGTGTATTTTTAATGTAAATTAGACTAAAAGGGCAATTGGTTCAAAATTCATTTCTAATTCTTCATCTGCTAAGTGATTATCTTTGCTTAGTGCTTTAATATTAACTCTACTGTATATTTATTACAAGCAGAGACAAAGAAAACAAACTGAAAGATGAAAAATAAAGTTAGAATACAATTATTATCTATTCAAGCTAAAGTTTGCGGTTATTAAAATTGTTTATTTTGTCGGTATCAACAAATGATTTATGCAATTGGCTTGTACACACTATGATACTCATGCAAAAGTTTATCTAATCATTTATTGATAACTAGCTATATGATTTATTGCTTACCTGAAATGTAATGTTTCTGACAAACTCTTGTATTGATATTCATTTTATCCGTATTGAAATTTTTCTGGCTAATTATCAAGAACCATTCAGATTGTCTTCGTTGTTAAAGTTCCTCAGTTTGATGTCCTTGATGACAAATAATGTTGGAAATTTTAAAAAATGATGTTCTTTGTTCTTGAGTGAACTAGCATTACACAATTTACCATAGTGATATTTGTGACAAATAAACAATACAAAAACTTCACATAAACACAAATAAAACATAACCCACAAAGATGGTGCCGGACAATTGTGCATGCTCATGACATCACTTGTGATGTCAAATTGAAATCTCTGTATAGAGAATACAACTTTCTATGCAATGTAATTTAAACAAATGTTTTTATAAAAGCTATTTTCTTAAAGTATAGAGCACATCACTTGCAATACACACAAATTTTGATGAAATGACCTTTACAGGTGAATATTTTGATATCTTAATTTATTGAAGCGTCTGTTTTCTAAGAAATTTCTTTAGATACTAATTAAAAAGTATTTTTCATACTTTACATTTTACCGAAAGTTAACTTCAGGGTCAGAGTCGCCAGAGTCGAAAGAATTTTACTGATTCTGACTCAAACTCCACAACACTGGTTATAAGTGCACTATACTCCATTATTGTGAGCTTTTTTTTTTTTAATTTGAAAAATATTCTGGGTTAACTGCACAATAGATTAGATCTAAAAACAAAATTTGCATTTTAAGGATATATGAGAACAAAGCAAGTTGCTAAAAATAAACATAGGATAGAGGAAAATGCACCATATAATTTTTTCCCATAAACACTAAGTTGACTTTTTTGATAAGTATCATGGATTTAGCCAGGCCCACAATAAGAGCAAAATTTTTTTATAAAAACATTTCAAAAGTAGGTAACAGTGATATAAAACCAGATTAGTAACAAGCAGAAATAGATTTCTATGTTGAGAGATAGACATGTGTAAAATAGAACTTTTCTAAGAAATTAAGTGATAATTTTGTATTCCAATTATCTAATTGAGTAAGAAAATTTAGTATTAAAGAGAGATGATAATCACTTTATAATCCACAGTTTTTACTAAAATTTATTCTAAAAGGTGAAACATCTTATGAATTAGAAAACATACTTTCAGAATAAAAAAGATAAGTTTAAAAGATTATAATCATGTTGAAATTTGAGAATCTTGGTTATGCAAAACTGCATGTTTTATTAAAATTGCTGCGAATTAATGCATCTCAAGAACATTAAATAAAATTTTTGGACTATTAAACCACTTCAGTTTATTCCAGTTTGTGGCAATAAATAGGTGTTTTTAAATTTAAAACAGATTAGTCAAGATTTATGCAAAAGTTTAAAAATTACCAACAGTGATTTTTAAAGAAATTTATATATCTGCAGTTAATTGCCACTAACTTTTCATCCTTTCTTGAAAGACTATTGCATAGCAGACAAAATGTTCAACTGACAAACAATTCTCTCATTTTCTTATCTTTAATAAGAATTAAAATTACAACAATAATGTAAACAATTTTAACTGTTAATACATTATTCAGAATTACATTATTGAGTAATTTATATAAAATAAAATTTAACAAATAGTACAAATCATTTTGTATTTTTAATTAACTATGTGAGTGATTAAATTTCAAGCAAACTTTAATTTGCTATCAATTGAAAAATGAATGCATTGCTCTAATATACTACAGTAATTTAGTTTAGTTTAACATTTATTCTAAAAGGAAACTTACAGTGTGTAATTGGTTCAATCAGCCATTTTGACTGTTGCACCGAAATATAAAAACAGGGTCTGTGTGAACAAAATAATAATTTTTTTTTGACTTCTCAAATGTACATTTGATTAATCCTTCAGATACACATTGCAAACTGTCCAGTTAAATTATTAAAATTTGATGAAGTAATTTACAGTTGTGAAATATGGAATGATATAAATGCAATTATATTAATTGTGCATTTTAAAGTATATAAAATAAAAAAACTAATATTTTTGAAGATTCTTACTACTGTGGTCATTTGCCCAAAATAAGAATTTTCCGTTTTGTAATCATTACCAATTTCCACTGATGAGTCTAACGATCAGAACAACATTGATGAATATACATTACATTACATCAGTTTACAAATCTTAAAACTGATGAATATGTTTCTGGGACATGATGTAAATTACGACATTAAAAAAGAATCCAGACTTTTCAAAACGCAGTGTAGTTGTTACCACCTATCATGCTTCCCATTCCACCTTCCATGGGATGACTGTCATAATTACCTCCCATGTCATGTGGTCCTCCGTAGAAGTGGCCATTTCCACCAACACCTGCAAAAAGAGAGGAAAATTAAGACATATTAATAGAAGCAAATCACTGTAGTGTATGCAAAAATAATATAGTTATGCTATTAATTTTTTGCAATGCAGCTTAGCTTTAAATGAATATCTGTAATAATCATTTGTCAAGATTTGTGATAAAGTAAAATATTTTCTGTAAATGTTCGTCCAATGGAGAATTATTTTTAATAAAATTGAAGACAAAACTGCCCAAAAAGGATCATCATTTATTATTTTTTGTGTTCCAAGACTAACACATTCTCGGCGATTGACCTTTCTTTGTAGGCTGCTTGTCGCTGGAAAATTACAGTGTCCTTTTAAAAAAACACAAAACACATTCAATTAAAATTGTAAAAATTTCTGAAAAAGGAACTGGTGATATACAGTTGTCCTGCTTGCATCCATCTATACCTTCTTTGGGGGTTTTAACTGCTTTTTATCTACTAGAATTTAGCACTGGAAAATGTAGATTTTTAGAAAAGCTGCATTGATGATACATGTAGAAATTTCTTCTGTAAATGTTTTCTCCTTTTTGGGCAGTTTTGTCTTCAATTTTATTAAAAATAATTCTCCATTGGATGAACATTTACAAAAGAAATTTTCTACATGTATCGTCATATGGGGGCAGCTTTTCTAAAAATCTACATTTTCCAGCACCAAATTCTAGTACAGTGTTTCTCAACGGGGGCGATATCGCCCCCATGTGGGCGTTTTTACATGTTGAGGGGGCGATTAGTAACAATTTATATTTTGGGGGCGAAAAACAATTTTCTGGGCAATATAGTAAAACATTATATTAAGAATAATTACATATTTTATTCGTTATATCGTACAATAATTAAACAAATAACATTATACTAGTCACTAGTCTATTGAATGCAGTACGAATTTGGCGTTAGCCTTGGCCCTCGACATTGGAGTTTTGAAGTGAAGGGGGCGATACTACGTAACGGTTTTATTGAAGGGGGCAATGATTCGTTAGAGGTTGAGAAACACTGTTCTAGTAGATAAAAAGCAGTTAAAAACCCCCAAAGAAGGTATAGATGGATGCAAGCAGGACAACTGTATATCACCAGTTCCTTTTTCAGAAATTTTTACAATTTTAATTGGATGTGTTTTGTGTTTTTTAAAAGGACTCTTTGTAATTTTCCAGCGACAAGCAGCCTACAAAAAAGGTCAGTCACCGAGAATGTGTTAGTCTTGGAACACAAAAAATAATAAATGGTGATCCTTTTTGGGCAGTTTTGTCTTCAATTTTATTAAAAGTAAAATATATTCTTTTCAAACTGCTAAGCATACTAAAATTTTAGGAAAAGTGAACTTAATTGCAAATTACAAAACTAGTGGATGTTCACGTGATATCAGAAATGTCTTCTAAATGTTGATGAATTAAGTAATAAATACTCAGTAGTGGTGGAGTTAATGCCTATCCAAGTGTGTACATACAAGTGGTATTGATGATTTCAGATAGAATGGAAATCTGATGATTGTGAAGGCAATATTGAACTGATGTTTGACTTTCAGGATATTGTTCACCAGAAATTCATCCCATAGGACATCATCTTCATCAAACACAATGTACCAGGATATTTTCAAGAGATTCACTTCACAAACATCTAAAGTTATGGGAGATCAAAAAATTTGATGTGCAAGTGCATTTTATGATACAAAATCTGACTCATGTTGTTACCAACCATCTGGTAAAATGCAGTGTTACTGTGCTCCTATACCTGCCCTAATCCCTAAATCTGGCTGCTGCAGACTTATCTGTTTCTGAGAGTAAAGTCTTCTAAGGGATGGCAATATGTGATTACTGATGAGCTTAAAGCCATAATCATAACCTTTTTTATTCTTGCTTATAGCCATCCTTTTATTTATTTTTTCATCCTGTATATAAATATGCTTTTGTGCCTTTTTCCTCAATTTTTTAACAGCTATATTTTTCTGCTGCTGGAAAATCAACTTAAAATTTCCCATTAGAGCCATGTCTGAAAAAGAAAAACATGCATACAACAATATAAACATTATTTTAACCCTTACCTCCAAATCTTCCTCCACCAAAATTATCACCTCCTCCCATATGATTACCCATATTTCTGTCAAATCCCATCATATGTCCTTTTCCACCATTTCCACCCATTGGATTAGGCATACCACCTCCAAATCCCATATTACAGTTGATCGGACTTGGTGATGAATTCAGGAATAATTCAATATATCTATGTTCTATAAAAACAATGTTTTAAGAAACTGTAAAACATTTTCATGTCTGAAAATGAAGCTAAATTGTATTACAAACTTACGAATATTTGCTTTATCTTTTCCCATGGCTTTTACTGCCTCTTCATGAGTACTGAATTCTACATCTGCCTCTCCTGAAGGCCGACCATTATTTTCATATAGAATTCTTATATTTATAGGATTTAATGGACGGAAAAACTATATAAAATTCAAATTATGAGAAAATGTTAAATACTTCATAACATAAAATATAATTCTCAACTTACATCATATATATCTTGTTCTACTGCACGGAAAGGTAGTCCTCTCATGTGAACAAAATGACCTCCTGAATTACCATATCCATCTCTACTTCTACCCATCATGCCACCGCCGCCACCACCACCAAATCTGTTGTTTCTTCCTCCTCCTTGTCCTCCTCTTCCCCCACCAGAGGAACCTAATCCACGACCTGACATGTAATTAACCATTCCACTTAATTTAAAATAATTTATTTTTGAAAGCTGCTTCAATATACTTAACTTTTATGTATTTATTTTAACTGATTTGTAATTTTGAAAAAGCTGGCTTACAAATCTTCATTTAGTGTATCTTGTAAAAAATCAATCTTTATTGTATTTTTAAAATATTTTATCATCATTGTTAAGGTTTTAATTTATCTTGTGAGTTCAAAAATATAATGAAATTGGAAATAACAACCATTCTTTGTAAAAAACACAAATTAGTGGTTTAAAATCAACAAATTCAACTGTTAAAGTTTATTAACATTGAACAATTTTGAACATGACCTGTCTACTTTCTTTATAACTAAAACTTGTTATATCGAAGTGAGTAATCCACACAAACAGCAAAGAACAAATTGTATTAAAAAGCCTTTATTGTAAGCTTAACTTGTATGTTACTACTATTACTACTACTATTATTTAGCATTTTGGGCTGACACATCTCTTCTTCTTATAAAGGCTTTTCCATATGATTTGTTGCCTTGCTGGTTGTGTGAGTTCTTCCCTTCAATGTAACAAGTTCCAATTAAAAAAAAATCCAGGTAAACAAGTTATATTCAACATAAAGGACCAAAAGCATGTATCTTAATTGAACAATTTTATTAATTCTATATTAAAGAAAGTTAAAACTTCACATAATTTTTACACATAAAAGTCATATGAAGTTTGAACTTTCCACCACATGTTTAATACACAACTTTTGAAATGTAAATTTGAAGTTGAAATAGAAGAATGTAAAATCTCTAGGCTGTACCAACTGATAAAAGACAACAACATTATGATTTATCCATTCCTTGAGAAAAAAAAAAAAAACAGAAGTCAAGAAATCTAGAGTTGATAAGTGCCCAGTTTTCCACTGACAATAAAATCATAAATTTTATATATGTAATTAATACTTGAAAGGCATTTGATATTAACATTACAGAGCACAAATAAGAAGTGACAGAAGTGATAAAATTGATAAGACATTCTTTATGCTTGCTGCTATTGATTTCAAAGCTTAGAATTTAGCTTAGTTTTTTGTGTTTATATTTAAAAATTACACTACAAAGATATATGTTTAACCCACAATCACATGTACTAGTAGTGATTTTCTATACATACTAGTTTTTCACAGGCATTTTCCACCAAATTGATTTACTTAGCTGTGCTTCCATATCATTATATTACATGCTATCCATGTAAAAATTTTGGTTGAAAAATTTTTTCGTTTATCACAGGCCCTCAAAAAATTGCTGCGGAAAATCACACCCTTACCCATGTAATAGCATACAACTTTTTCTTGTCACATGATTGCACACATAAGACAATTTCACACTATTACTGACTGAACAGATTCTGTGTTTCATGACAACAGCAATAGGTTGGCAAACTAGTATTCCAGTCCAGATTTAAGAAGTTAAATATTTCTAGTTGAGCTGGAGCAATGCTTGAGCTACAATCAATCATACTGAAAACCTGCATAACAAGAAAAGATGGCAAAAAATACTTTCAGAAGAATTAATAAAGCAACAACCACTGTTGTATGACATCAGGCTAAATATCAGCTATAATTATTATTAATTTATTACAAGGTGATGCCTAACATCGCCCTCTTCAGTCAAATTTATCAGTAATGAAAAATTAATAAACAAAGTAACTTATCTGTGAATTTACAATATTAGCAAGCAGATTATAAAGATATTTAAAAAAAATTAGAAAAACAATGTTTGGCTAGTGTTTTTATCTGTTTTACCCATTCTGACTAGTTGTAATAAACCAATCAAATTGAGTAAAATGGACCACCCATTGACAAGTGTATTCAATGTGAATACTTTCGCTATTAATCAGCCAGATTATGGGATTGATGGGTCGGTACAGTCTCTGTAGTCGATCGTAGTGTGAAATTTTCTGCTCCAACGCCACTTTTGGTGACCCAACATCACCAAAAATGACATCACAGAGGTCTCACATGATTGCCATAAGAGGTAGCAAGAGATCATGGATGCTTGTTAGTTATGCATAACACAATGGTATGCAGTCTGCAAATCATTACTATTTTGAACACTTATCTCCATAAGATAGCCTGGGATGCTATGACCTTCAACAATTTAAATGTTTGCATAGGTTTTTTCATGCCAAAAAACACAGAAAAATAGTTTTTTGGTGTTTCTGAGAAACACCCCAGCCCTCCTATCATTTATTTCCAGTCAAACTCACTTTAGCCTGTGCTATCATAAAGTTTAAAGGACTCTTTATGGAGTCTGGTCAAGGACATTGTTCTATAAACAAAACAATATATGACATTGAAATTTGACATGTACAGAGATGAGTAATTTCAGGATTTTTCAGAATTGCCAAATTCAAAGAGCAGTAATTACATGCAGTTTAATTAGGCATGAAAATCAGCAGGAAATAACTGTCTTAAGCATGTTTGCATGCTAAAAAATAAATGCATCTGATTATAGGTTAAAATCCCTAAACTAATATATTATCATTATCATAAACTTCATTTTAAACATGTTATTCATGTTAAATAAAAATTTGTTTAACAAACACATTTAATGTTCACTATTGATTAATTTACTTACACTTTCAATATTAAAACTGTAAGAAGTAATTTTCACTTAAAGATCATTTTTTAAAAATTTCAGTAGTGAATATTTGTTTGAAAAAATTAATGTGTAACTTATAACATTGAAGAACTAATTTAATTTGATGTTTAATGTACTATGATAATGTTGATATTTATTTTTATATGAATGTTATACATTTATTTTTAACATTGTTTATTGAAGTTTTTAAATTTAGTCTTATGTTAATAAAGTGAAATAAAAATTCATGATAAAAGAGAATTTGCAACTAGAATTTCTTACTGCAATTTTCCATTTCAAACATAAGATTTTTTTCTTATTAATAAGTTTTATAGTGCTTACTTCCAAATCCTCCAAAATTTCCACTGTTTCCATAATCAATATCACCATAACCTTGATAACCACCATCGTCAATAAAACCTTTAATATATAACAAAAAAAATTAGACTAAAAAAATCAACACATATTTAATTGCATTCTTTATTTCTTTACCACGGAAATTTCTGTTTCCTCGTCCTCCACCATATCTGTTTGATGGCCCTCCAAATCTGTCATTTCGATCATAAGGTGCTGGCCTATTAGAACCCAAACTGGGTCTCATTCTTGGAGGTCCAGCTCCAAAAGCTGATCTAATTTCTTGTAAACTGCTTTTAAAAATTTCTATGTACCTAAACACAAAGAGGAGAATTACAAAATTCAATAATTGTTTTGTTTTATCTTTACTATAAATTTTTAAAATAATTTGATCAATCATTACAAAAGTTTAACAATTTATTATTATTCAATGATATATTTTAAAATTTTACCTTTATAAGTTTTACTTTATTTAAATATTACTAATAAAATATATGAGCCAATTATGATAACTTACTCTTTAAATTAATATAGCATCTATTCTGTAATATGCCACAATCCATTTTATATAATGCTAGTTAATTATAAAATATAATATTTTTTTTTATAAATTTAAATCTAAAAAAATTGTTACTAAATTAAGAGAGAATTCTATTAAGAAAATTTTATTCATATATTCAAATCTACAATAATTTATATTTATTTGTTTGATATAATTATAAATATGTTTTTATTTTATGATAAAATGCTGTATAAACTAGTCAATACATTTTACTTTGCATTTAATTTAATCTATATGAGAAAATTTATATAAAAATTTAGAATATATCAACATTCTAACTGAAAACATGGAACTTTTTTGATAAAACTGGTTTGTAATTTTCATTGGATTTATTGTTCTACTATCAATAATTAATAAACTAACAATACATTGTCCTCTTATTTACTCTTAATTAAGTGTATTGTTTTTTTTAATTAAATTTAAATAAATTAAATAAGTGTATTGTTAATATTCAAAGACAAATCAAATATAAATCTTATTAACTTGAATATATACTTAAATAAATCAATAAAAATAAGATAAAAGTAAATAAAAAAAAGCTATGTAAGATATAGTTATATTATTTCATTAGTAAAATTTTTAAATTGATAACTGAATTTCATATTCCATCTTTAAATACTACACATGAATCAGTTTTAATTTATTAATTCTAAGGACTGTCAAAATAAAAACATGCAAAAATGAACTACATTCACAAATCTGACAATGTTCTATTTAAATATTTCACACAGATGGTTAAGATTCATTTAAATTTGTATAAATATATATATATATATATATATTTTTTTTCCATCAGAATATATTTTCTACATATAATTATGTAAAATTAAAATNCAACCAATGAGAAGTGTTGTCAGATTTTTTTTTCTTTCCAGCTCTCAAAAAACAGCAGAGTTGCTAGGTGAGATTAGGCCTGTTTGGAGGTTGTGGGAGCTCTTGAAATCGTCATTGTTTAATTGTTGCTTTTAAAACATGATTGGTTTGGACAATTTGATATTCTATCTGCATCTCCATTTTTTCAACTGAGACAAGTTTTAAAATAGTACAGTGGGTGATTGGTTAATGAACATAATTCATTCCAAGATTTTGTTCACTATCCAAATTATTCGTTAACCGATTATCAATTTACCATAGATTTGTATGGGAATTTGATTAATTCTTTCTGGAGACCCCAAAAAATAAAAAATATATACTTTCTTATTACATTTATTTATATGTAATAATAAAAATACATACATACACAGTCTTGCATTTTTATTAGTCATGTTTTTTCTGTTTGTGGGGGTTAAAGAATCTGTCTAATGTCGATTACTTTTCTCTCTTCTTTAGGATTTTTCAGAAGTAATTAATAGCATTGTAATTGTAGAGATCCCAAGCCTATTAACCTCAACCTGGTTTGGATGTTTGATAGCAGATATTGGCATTAATCCTCTTTTTCAGAAGAAAACATCTCACCAAGTTTTTTGGTGTTATTCATTCAAGAGTTCTTGGTGGTTCTTCTGTCATCAGATCCATTTCAGGTTCCATAATGAGCTCTTCAATGTTCTTTATTTGTCAGATGTGATATTTGTTACTCCTTTAGCTGCTTGAGTTTTCTTAATTATACTGTATCTTTCTTAGATAAGATTGAACTCAGCCTACTGTAGACCTGTTCAAGCCATACTACCCAGCAACATCAGACATCATCTGCAAACTCTCTACCTTTGCTATTATACTCTCACCTTTCGAAAACAAAAAATCAATGCAAAACTTAATGAGTGCCCACCCAACAATTTCACAAATACTATAAAAGAATTGTTTCTGTCAGAAAAATAAAAGGCTGGAATTACAAGGGAGAGTTTCAAAATTCGGAGGAATACTATCCCATCAGTATATACAGGGTTGAGCGTCGATGTCGACATCTCCTGCACTCTGAAAAGTTCCCTGAAGACAAGGAAAGACCAATCAGTATTCATTATTTTATGTCGCTTCTTGTGTTTGTTCTGTGAGGTGTTCATTGTCCAAACATAAGAATATTTCGCAACAGTGTTCATTATCTGATTTGTTTGTTAACCAATCACCCACTGTATTTAGATATAGTAAGTTATTATTGTAAGTAGTGCAAAGCTTTATTTAAAACATAAGATAATACAAATACAGTTATTATTATTAGATTCATAAGTTATCTTTAGCAGCTCTTAAAGGAAAAAAAAATTTATATATAATTTTTTTAGCCGTGTAAAATGTTTTCTTAATTAGTTCTTTTCTCTAAAATATTCAAATAAATATGACTGTATTTATTCTTTTTTTGGTACTCTAAACATTAAAACAAGTTTATATATCATTCATTTTTGTAATTTTTATTGAAAAGTTTTTATAAGATAATAATACTATTTGTATCAGAACTTCTATAACTGTGTGTGTGATTTTCATAAGAACTATCTGTAATTAATAATTCTAGTAGATGTTTAGAAAATTACAATACAACATAAATATTGTTAATAGACAAATACACAATATTCAAATTACTTGGCTATCTCAGATTACCTGGAAATTACCAATTAAAAACAAAATGTTGACATATTACAAAATGACAAATGAATACAAGACTTTTAAAACAAAGTGATGACACTTTGGCCTCTTCAATGATAATACAATTCAATCTATGTGCAGTGTATTTATAGTTTACAAATCTATTCCAACATGCATTAACATTAATGCCATTATTTAAATTAATATTATTTATATTTTCATTATTTATTATTGAAAAATGTTCAATAATAAATAACTTATTGAACATTTTTCAATAATAAATAACTTGGGCAAATCACATTTGATAGGTAACTTATAATTATATGGTGAAGTGTAAAAATAAAATAATCCTTTCTTGATCTAAGTGTTGTTTGAATGTTTATAATCATCTCTACACTACACTCAGAACAGGCTGAGTTTTTTTCTTGTATTTATATTTTTAAATTAATAGAATAATATTGTTGTATTTCATATTTTACTTTAATTTTAAAAGAAATTATTAAATCATAGATCTAAGCATACTCTAAAATGTATTAACAGAAATAACAATTTCATTATAAATATTAATTGCTAAAAATAAATTTGGATTAAATATTGTAAAAAATAAAATTTTTTGAAATATTATATAAGTGACATCAATTTGTATTTGTATAGAAATGCTTCAATTATATATTATTCTTAATATTCAATATGATCAGTTTATATATTCTATTCTAAATTTTTATTACCAGAAATATAAAAATAATTAGTGAAAATGACAAATACAGATTTGTGATGATTTATCGTTTATATTTTTATAAGAAAACTTATAACTATAGATTAATTTTTTAAAAGGAATCCTTAAACAGAAATTTTCCTATATCTTCCTTTCTCTATTTCATCAAAAACTAATTTTTATTAAAAATAATTAAGTTTGAGTAAGAGAAAGCCGAAAAAGAAATGAAGCTTGTCATCATAATGTAAAAAAAAAAAAAATCTACCTTTAAATGTATCTAATATAATACGTAAAAAAATACTTTAAGGCTACCAAAACTGTATTTAAAACAAAACCCAAAAATTTTGGCTAAACCTAACAATCTTCAGCCATCTAACAACTGCTTCTCAAGTACTTTTGAGCAACCAAGCCTTTCATCAGAACAACTGCAAGCAAATTTAACCAATCAAATCATTAGTAGCCATTCACTTACATCATAAAACTGAACTAAGAACATGATGATATAAATGAATAATTATTAATGACTTTTTTAACAAAATTTGATCTTTAAATTTTGTGCATTCCAATAAAGGAGTTTTTTGATTGTTAGAAAAATCATAGTTTAGTCACTAATAGCTAATATACCATTCAATGCTTGAGTTATCTTATTATTATCAAACAGGTTTGTAAACTACACATGATTTTGTTAGTACACATGGTAGTTAGTAACTGTATACACTAAATAATTACTTCTGCCAGGATGTCAGGAATTTCGTAATTTCTTTTTAGATCTCCTGATCGTCTACTTTATTTACACATCTTTGCATAGACTTGTTCCATTGTATTTTACAGAAATAATCACATAAATCACAAAGATTAAAATATTTCTCTCAAACAACAAAGAAAGTCACTCTTAGTACAGCAATCAGCAACAAAACAATTATTAAATTAACGATATTATCATCATCTCTTGAAATATATTTTAAAGAAACATTGAAAGTAAGTGAAAAATAATAAGAATTTTTAAGTAAATTTATTCAAAATATTCAGACATCATTAAGTTTTGCACAAAAAATATAAACTAAAATTATTTGTTTGCTATAATAAACTTTTATGGTCATTTAAAGAAATTTATGGGCTTTCGCAAATTTTTCTGTAAAATATGATGAATGGATTCATAGGTAGGAACATATGTATAAAGATCAATTTCTTGAAAATGTTGAAAGAAAATTCAATAACACTGCTAATTAGAACACAAATGTCCATGAAGATCTCATACAAATAGAATGTTGCCACAAACAAACAGAATCTCTCATTTATTATTAGATATGTGTACAAACTTTAACAAATTTTATGAATGGAAGGAATAGTTCAGTTTTATTTACAAAGTTAGAATGACTTAAGTTTAGACCAAAACATTTCAATTTTGTTTTAAATATAGTTTTAGTAGTCTTAAAATAACATATTTTGTTTATTAAATCTGGTAAATACCAGTTTAATCATTTAGCTAATAATATATAATAAGTTATTAAAAAGAAACCTATGAATATATTTTATCATCATTCTATTGTATATTACTTACTTATTTACAGATTAAAAGTTGTTTTAGTTTAAATTATTAAAAACTTGCTTTACAATAACTAAAGTATAAGAAATATTTATTGTATGAGGAATAACAATACTAATGCCTGCTTTATATTAACAACAAAATTAGTTTCTATTTTTGTTATATTAACAAATTGAAATTAATTTAATTTAATATTACTGAAGCAGATATTTCCATTACAATTAAAATTATAAGGTTATGTTGTCTTAAAAACTTAAGTATAAAAATATTTAAACATTTTATATATTCATTGAATATCTTCTCATGTCAGCAACTATATTAATAAGCAATCTATAATACAAAAATATTAATATAATTATTAGTAATAAATAAATTACTACTTAATCTATTAGTTTATATGTTCAGTATTGATATACTAATATATATTTAAATTCTGTATAGCTACTAGATCCATGGTTCTCAATCCATGGTCTGCGGAACACAGGTGCTCCGTGAAGACACTTAAGTGTTCCGCGAAAAAATCAAATACACAATTAAAAATCATTGCAAAAGAAAAATCAATACAATGTAAAATAATTTTTTTATTAGAATGTAATCAGCCAACACCAATGTCGTCATCTACTAGACTGAGTGCACTTGATTTCAAAAAGGTTTGCCACCCCTGCTTTAAAGTTGATGTATTGTAAGTGTTCCATGGAATGTCAAAGTTTAGTGTTCCCCAACTTCAAAAAGATTGAGAACCACTGTACTAGATTACTAATCACTTAAGATTAATTTAATAGCTAACATAAAAGTATTAGAGAACTTTTAAAATGTAAAATAAAATATCTTTATTCCTATTGCATAAAAAACATATATTATTTTTTATACTTAAGAAGTGTGTGTGCACTGTATTTTATTCTCTAAAATTCTGATTTTAATGCGCAATAATAATTCTTACATTCAAAGATAAAAAATTTGAGTGTTAAGTTGAACATTAAAATGCTTTTTATTTAATAAAAAAATTTAATAGTAAATCTTTCAAATAGAATAGTTAAGATGTAATATTTCTAATTATAAAATCAGATATATAAATCACTGAAAAATAAAAATATTAATAAATCCAAATTTATAGATTATTGTGACACATTACAGAGTTATCAACTATATACATAACTAATATAAAAAACATACTTTGGAAATAATAATATTAGTAGAATACTATTATTATTAGATTCTATTTTGAAAATGATAACCAATATTCAGAAAAACAGAAATATTTCTATTCCATAAATAATATTTAAGTAATTTGTTTTATATATGCAATTACTTAACAACATAAAAATATTTGTGTGTTTTTAAATAATTATATATACAGTCGACTCCCCTATAAGATATAGATACGTTCCAATTTATTAGGAATCCGATTTCTTACAAGTCGTTCCAATCACAGCCCGACACGTGTCAAGTTTACGGACTACGGATGATTGAAAGGTTTTCTTCCATAAAATTAATCGATTCTACACTAATCCGACTCAACATTTCCAAAATACGTATATTTTTTCGTAGTTTTATAGGAATCGTAATTATAGGGGGGTCGACTTGTATATAAATTTTCATTACATAATCTGAAGGAAAAGAAATCAAAAATACATCCATTATATCTATTAATAAATACAACATAGAAAATTTTAACAGATTTAGCATAAATATTTTCAAAGTTCTTCAAATGAAAATTTAAATTTGTGCCTGAAAACAAAACATTTTAGTTCTGAAAACACTTATGCCAAATAACTAATTTTTTTAGTCTGTTAAAATTTATTGTCTTGTGCTTCTTTAGTTGATAAAAAAAAATAGGAATGTCTCAGTATTTGCTTTATGTAAACAGAAAAAGGATCATATAATCTATGTTAATAAAGAAATGAATTTTTTGGTATGTTAAAAATTTAAGTTACCGATTTTTTAAACAAAAGCTTTGTATACTTTTCTGAATCTGTTTTATTTACTGTGTTTAATAACTTAACACATGCAAATATACAGAGTGAAAATTATATGGCAAACATTTTTCTCTGTATTAATAAATCATTAATTTTATAAGATACCCTACTAGACAACCTTTTCATTATTAGTTGCAGGAGTGAATCATTAACTTTAAAAAATAAGAGGAAAAAAATCTTTCCCAGAGATTGTAAATTATTACAGTATAAACATAATAGATTTCAGATTAAAAACAAATTAACTATTCTTTTTAGCATAAATACAATTTTAAACCAAAACCTCTTTCGAAAAAATAATCAAATAAATAAAGAAATAAAAATAATAACTAACTCTTGAAACAAAAATTGACATTTTTCTTATTATGCAATAAGATCAAATACATTTTCCAAGTGAGAACTAAAATTTTGGTAAATGATTCATATATGTACTTATTAATGTTTTATAAATTAATGAAAATATTTGATCTGTTGATATCAATTTCTCGTGTTCTACAACAGTATTTTTACATAACCACCTTACAAAAATTATATTTCAATATTGAGATATTTTTAGATAGGAGCAATCCCAATTGTCTGTATCTAAAAGTAAAATCATCATTTGTGTAAAGCAACTAGATTAAAAATTTAAATTAGAATTAAACATCATATAATAGTTTATAATTTTTTCATTTAGAAGTTACTTGTGATAACAGACTTTTTCTTTTTAAATAAAGAGAACATATTCTTCAGTGTTGTAAATGTTTAATTGTTGAAAAAATTCTTTAAAATAAAAAAAAATTACAATAACACTATCACTATAAACCATTTTGTTGATTTATAAACTTACAAAATATCAATTACCATAAAAACTTTTTGATTTCTTTTCAATCATTATAAAAATTATGCAAATCAAAATTTATTCAATGTTGCCATAGTTTATAGTTAGTAATTAAGAATAAAATAATTAGACAACTTTCTATATAATGTTTTCTTGTCATAAAAAAACATATATATATATAGGTCTTCTATTTATATTATGCCTGTTGATTTTGTTAAATTTATATTGCTTTCTTTTTCTTATGATTGTATGTGATTGTTTTTTCATACAAAATATTTATTTGTTAGTGAAGATGCCAATATTTTCAAGATAAATTTAATATAGTATCTACAACACATAGAAAAAACTTTATGCAGCAATACATGGTAATCCCTTCTGTGTTGTATTCATGAGTTTTCATATCAAGAATTTCACTATTAATTTCAAGTTTTACCATCAAACTGATTGAATATTATACATTATGAATAATAATATAGCCTCATCTTTCAGAAATTTTTAATATAACTTTAGTTTTTAACCATATTGAAACTAAGAATATCCATGAAAAAACAAACTTTTAAATGTTTTAATCTTCATTGTTATAAAAAAAGGACCAGTTTTTAAATAAATATATACTGAAAATTTTATATTTTATCATGTGATTTTAAGACCAAGATGTTTCTCGATTTCCTTACAAATTAAAAGATTTGTTTTAATATATAAGGAAATTATCATTTAATCATAAAGTTTTTCATTTTTCTATATCATATCTTTTATTCATTGTTTAATTACTTAATTAATCTTATTCAAGATAAAAATATAATAAGAAAGACATAAGTGTATTAATGCAAAAACTTTGAATGTAATATTTTTAAAATAAAAGAACAGATGGAAAATTGCAATATAGCCACTAATTTTTTTAAATCGCTCAACATTAAACTCTTACAATACATTATGCTCTTAATTATTACATAAATGCAGTGTCTATTAAGTAATTTTTTTTGTTTATTATATTATTGTAGCATTTCTGAATATTGATAAGAACTTTTCTTAATTTTTCTGTATTATGTATTACCATCTTTATGTTACTGTCAAATTTTAAATATGGTACATTTTTATTCCTGTAACAATTGTAATCTAATAAGGAAATTTAAAATGCATATGTTAAAACAGTATTAATTCTTTCTGTGAATGACATTTATTTGTATTTATCTGAATTATCATTATATATAAAAAAATCTAATAATAATAGTAATAATTAATATAAATTCATTCATTATTGATAGTTTTGTAACAATGATTATTAGATAAAACAATTCTCAAAGACAAGACAATCAACTTCAGTTATTATTAATATATGAAGATATATTTATTTAATTTCACTGATTAATTTTTTTCATTAAAAAATATAATTTGAATTTTTTACATTATAAATTTAAATAAAAATTCAGAATATAAATTAAAAAATTTAATATTTTTAATTGCAAACATAAATTATCTTCATTCTATACCCAAAAAATCATTGACAAAAGAGAACTTCACCATGCTGTATCTGTAATAAATCTCAATTTAATGATTCCCAAAGTATTTGAAGATTATTTTAAGATGTATTTCAAATATACTTATAAATCATTACGAAAGACATATAATTAGTTATTAAGTCATATTAAACATTTGAAAATCATAAACAGTAAAACAACAGGCCCATATGACGGTAAGAAACCCGCCTTGCAGCCCGAAAATCCCACCTGTGCCCAATTTTTTCCTTGTGTTTCCCCATCGCCTTTTCAGCTATTGCCCGTGAAGCAAACTGCACATAAGCCTCCCCAGTACTTCTCCCCTGGTAGTCAGTTGGTAGGGATATCCCATTTGGTACAATCTCCAACCCTTTAATTGAAATCCAACCCAACAGAAGTTCATGTGATAGTTAACAATTAAGAAATATCTTGTTGTAGACAATTGAAATGATATAAATTTAATATTTATATAATTTTTAAACTATTCTAATTATATCCAAAGATAGAAGATGCACAATAAAGAAAAATTATTTACAAGCAATGCTAAAATAATTGAAAATAAAATTTTTATAAAGTAATTATAATTTACATTAAATTCAGTAACAAAATATTTAGGCTACACAATAAAATTTTGTGCATCTTTATCTTTAATTTATAAAAAAATAATTGATAAAATCATTTGAAATAAAACAAACCTGCTATTATCTTTAGGCAATTTTTTATAAATAAAAACTAACTTATTGACTTAGGTTATGAATTATTAGGTTATGATTTATTAAATTTTAAAATTTTAATATAACTTATCTAATGAACACTATTTTAGTAAACTAGCTGCAAATCTAAATTTATTTTTCTAAATTCAAATATCTATGTAATTTATATATATAACAAATTAATATTTATATTCAAAGCTGCCTTTTCAAAGCTAATTTTAATTCAATTAACATAAACGTTTTATAATGATTTAAACATGAAATTTATCTTAATTAAAAATATAAGAATTTTCTAAGCCACAAACTGTTGTAAATACTATAATTAAAATTTTCTAATTATTGTTTCTGAGATCAACACTACTACTATAAATGTCTAAAATAAACTAGTAATTCAAATGTGTTATTGAATTATTTACCAACATAATTTTTTTAAAACTATATTTAAATATAATCTCTAAATACATATTTTAATATTAATATTGACTATACTTAACGTAAATTATTTTTAAAAAATTTAAATAATAAATGTCTTACAGTCTATGCATGACATTTTAAGCTGAATGATTCTTGATGAATATTTATCTGCTAATATGAATATTAAAGACTGCTGTTCAAAAATACCTTTCAGTATGTTATTTGTACAGGAATATTATGACACAAGATAACTAACAAGGAGAGGACATAGCTGGCTACTCACTGATTTTGATAAGCTTGGACGTAGTGAAAGTACATTGAAAATGAATGAATACATGTCCAAGGTTTTCATCCAATGTGCCTTACAAATGTTAATTTTTGATGTTTAAAATTTTAAAAGTTTGTAGCAAATGGTTATAAACCATAATAGATGATACATTCCACAAGCACTGCATAGCATAGTCTATTAAATGATCATTAATTAATGGAGGCTACTGAACAGGTATTGTTGTGGCATCAATTCCCAAAATTTTTTAAAAATATTTTTATTTTTATTTTTAATATTTTTTAATTGAATAAAAATTATAAGAAATTATATATTAT